ATCTGATTTTGTCTCGCATGTTCTTGTCATCATTCTCTTCATTTGCTTCACCGCGTTTTCAGCCTTTCCGTTAGACTGTGGATATCCGGGAGAACTCGTCGTGTGTTTGAATTCGTACATCTCAGCGAACTCCCTGAAATCCCTTGAGTTGAAGGGAGGGCCATTGTCGCTGACGAGCTCCATTGGAATACCATAGCGTGCCATATGTCCTTTTAGCAGTCTGATGATTTCTTTCGTGGTCTTGTTGTGCACTCTGTCGCATTCTATGAAGTCGGAATAGTAATCTACAGTGACTAGATATGACCAGCCTGCAAACTCCATGAGGTCACAGCCGATCCTCTCCCATGGTCTTGCTGGTACTTTGTAGGATATGAGTGTCTCTTTCTGTTGGGCTGGCTGATAAGCCGCACATGCTGTACATTTGGAGACATAGTCTTTTATGTCTTCGTTCATGTTTGGCCAGTACAGGGCTTCTCTTGCTCTACGCATGCACGTTTGCACTCCAGCATGCGACAAGTGCACGCGTTCCAGCATGTAGCGCCTTGCGCTGACAGGTACGAAAATTCGATCACCTTTAAATATTACTCCCTTGTTGACAGATAACGTGCTCCTGAGATCGAAATACCTGCGTGCTTCCATCGGTACATCACTTTTATGTTTTGGCCATCCTTTGCTGATGAGTTCTGCGAGTGTGCATGCTTCCATGTCGTTTTCTGACTCTGTTCTCAGGAAAATAGCCGTTTTGTCAGATATCGGCAGGTAGTCTTCTATCTCCAGTTGTTCTATGTTAGCTTCTTCTTGGCATCTTCCAAGTGAAGCATAGTATATTTCATCCAGATGTTCCGTGTTCGTATCCGGGAGCTGAGCTCTGCTAAGTGTATCGGCTAGATGCATGTCAACTCCCCTTTTGTACTCTATATGGAAGTCGAATTTCTGCACCGCTAGCATCATCCGTTGCAAGCGTTTCGGTGTTTCAGCGAGGCTTTTGAGCTGGATCTGTTCCAATGGCTTGTGGTCCGACTGTATTGTCACCTCTCTTCCCAAGGTGTACCGTTCGAACTTGTTCAGTCCGTAGACAATCGCGAGCATTTCTTTTTCGATTTGGGCATAGTGTCTCTCAGCGTTGGTGAGCGTTCGAGAGGCATAGGCGACTGGCTGACCGCATTGCATTAGACACGCACCAAGCCCCTCTTGAGACGCGTCCACCTGGAGACTAGTCTCGTCTTTGGTACTGAAGTATTTCAGAACAGGTGCCTCGACGATCAGCTTCTTTATGGCTCGTAGAGCCTCGCCGTGGATGCAGTCGTCAAAAAGGAAAGGTGCATCATCCTTCAGAAGCTGACGGAGTGGTGCTGCTACTGTCGACAGGTTTGGGGAAAACTTTTGAAGATAGTTGACCATTCCCAGCAGCCTCTGCACACCTTTCTTATCTTTTGGGGCTGGCATGGATTGGATAGCACGCGTCTTCTCTGGGTCAACTTGTAGACCTCGATCCGTGAATAGGTGACCCATGTAGGCTACTTGTTTTTGTTTCAGCTTCATCTTGTTCATGTTCAATCTTATACCTCTTTCTCTACATCTTTCTAGTAGAGCTTTCAGTTTCCTGTCATGATCTGTGACAGCCTCTTCGTATGTGTCGCCTTCCCCGTAGATCAGAATGTCGTCGGCAATAGCCTTTATGCCATCTAGACCTTCTAGCTCTTGGTTTAGCCTTCTTTGAAATTCTTCTGATGCCACGGCTATACCAAATGGTAGGCGGTTCCATCTATACCGTCCCCAGGGTGTTCCAAATGTAGTCAAGAAGCTACTTTCTTCTTCGAGTTCGACGTGCCAATATCCGTTTTTTGCGTCGCAAACAGTGAACACCTTTGCCTTCTCCAGTCGGCACGTCAGGTCATCAACTGTCGGAATCGGATACTTGTTTCTTTTCAGCTCTTTGTTCAGCGGTTTGGAATCCAAGCAGAGTCGAAGGCTGCCATTCGGCTTCTTCACTACGACTAAGGCAGACACCCAGTCAGTGGGCACTTCCACAGGTGTGATGATGCCTTCACTGGTAAGACGATCCAGCTCCTGTTTGAGGCTGTCTTCCAGTGCCACTGGAACTGACCTCGTCGCCGCCTGATGCTGTTTAGCCTCTGGAACTACTTCAAGCTTCAGTTTCTCTCGGAATCGGCCTGTCCCGGTGAAAACATCCTTGTATTCGGCGACGAGTGCCTCTTTTTCTCCGGCGGTTCCTCCCGTGGTCACGTTATTGGCTTGATGCACGGTCATGATGTTGGCGTGGTTGACATTGATGAGTTCCAAGTCCTGTACAGCACTGACCCCTAATAATGGAGTATAGTCTTGTGGTACTACAAAGAATTCCACCTGATACTCCTTCATCGTCATGGGGTTCGTCACCGTCAGTTTGCATCGCCCCTTCACCGCACTGGTCGATCCATTGTACATGACAAGCGACATCTGACATGGCTGAAGCTTCTTTAGGAGGGGGTCATCGCATGCCTTCTTGTAGACGTGCTGGGGTATCACATTGACACCGGCTCCAGTGTCGAGCTGAAACCGCTCAATATGATTGTTGCCTATCATCAAGTGAGCATGTATCTTGCCGCTCCGTGGCTGTGACATTGCACCGGTGCTCACATGCAGAATGTGACTCGTCTCTTCTAACAGATTAGTTTGCTCTCCCTGTTGAGTTGCTGTTTGAATCTCGACACCAAATGAGTTAAGGTGTGTTTCTTGTGCAGAGCTTGGTTCATCGCACTCCATACCATTCGGTACGTATGAGTCAGCCATGTCCAACATCTCTACACGGGCTCGTCTACACTTTGCGGCGACATGGTTCAGGCGACCACAGATCTGACAGGTCTTTCCCCAGGCTGGGCACTGTTCTTTTTTGAACGTGTGTTTTGTGCCACAGTATTTGCACCATCCAATGGTTGGAGTTATTCTCCGTTGTTGACCTCTTCCTCTACCATGTACTGCATGAAGGTCGGCACTTGGTGTGAAGCAAGGTTGTGTCTCTTGCTGAGTCTTCTGAGTCATCGCTTTCATCTGATCAGATGCTGTCTCATGAGCTCTTATGGTCTGCATCGCTTGGTTCAATGTCAACTCATTTTCTTGTAGAAGCCTTCGTCTGACGTTGTCGTCTTGTATACCGATAATCACCCGGTCTCGGATTAGACTTTCCTCCAGGGATCCAAAGTTGCATGTTTTTGCTAGTTGTCTCAGGCTTGTAACGTATTCGTCCACCTTCTCCTGGTTTTCTTGCTTTCGTATGTTAAACTTGTACCGTTCGTACGTTTCGTTTGGTTTGACCACGCAGTAGGCTTGGAACTTTGCTACGACCGAAGACACGGATGCCTGTTCTTCTTCACTTGTGCACAGACCATCCAATATCAGCAGAGCCTCCGGACCGATGCACGTCAGGAATGTGGCAACCTGTACCTCATCTGGCTTCTCTTGTAAACCTGTGGCAATGGAGTAGTTTTTCCACTGTCGATGCCACAGCTTCCATGTTGTGTCTAAATTATCGTGGTTTTGTCTCAGTTTTAACGGACCTGGCAGAGGCAAGTTGGCCATAGCAGTGATTGCATGAAAGTATATCAGATATTTTGTTCCAATCGAAAGTTAATCATTTCAGGTCTATGTGAAAAAATACAAAATATTTACAAATAAGATATCCCACTTCTGACACCATGTGGCGTGATGCTAATCGTATTTTTCACTCACTATCACACACAACACAAATAACACAGAACGTGACATATTCACGTGACACTTATCCGGCTGCCTACATCTAAGCAGCCGGCACACTAACGTCAACGGTTTTGCCTGCAGGAGGCAAAAACTGCAAAAATAGCCGATTTTTTCGGAAACAGTTTTTCTGCAATAACTTTTGACCCAAGCCTTTTACGAGCTTACTTTTACCGGCATCGTGTTCCTCTCGTCAAGACGCATCGAACGAACTATAACTTGACCTTGAAAGGTCAACTTGAAAATTTGACCTCAGGTCAAGGTCATGACCTGACCGGAAAGGGTCATGTTGCATATCAGTCGATCCGTATAGTCGAGCTGAACACATATAAGGCGTTTTCATCGCTCTAGCATGCCTCTATCAAAAGTTTTTTGCGAAAAACTGTTAGATACCATTCGTGACCTAAGATGACCTCAGGGCACAAACAAGGGTCACGGACACCATTTTCATGTTCAGTGTGTCTAAACCACTTGTACTTCGGTGTTTGGGAGTGTTTATAATGTCTTTCGTCCAAAAGAGGTGCATTTCAATTTTCTCCCATTGACTTATAATGGGGAGGTCGCAAAATTGACCTGACCTTAGGTCATCGATATCAAAATTCTGAGATATACATTTTGTACATGCTATTGCTCTTAGCAATCGCTGAAAGTTTCAAAGCGATCGGTCACTCGGTGTAGCTATGACAGACATTGAAACTTTTTATGAGGTGAGTTCACTTCAAGTGACCTGGTGACCTGACCTTGAATGACCTTGGTCTGAAATTTTCACAACATGTGTAGAATTGATGTATGATAAGGTGTACCAAAAACGGCGGCGCTCCGCGCCGCCGTTTTTGAGATATTCCCGAAAAACCACAAGGGGGGTGTTCAAACACCCCCCCAGCAGGGCGCGGGTTAAAACTGTTATTGTAAAATAGGCCAAATATGAAAATAAGCTTTCGCTTTACAGTATCATCAGATTCAAACTGATTATGCTGTAAAGCGAAAAATTCTCATATCTCGCCTATTTTACAATAAGGTTGTTGTTGCCTCAAACCCCAATAAAACAACAACAACCTTAGACCGTTTTCCAATGACATTCGCCCTCTCTGATCTATATCATTTTGATCACTCAGTCATTGGTCTCACACCATTTTTTTTTCAGAATACGCACCACTTTTTGCGTTTCCGTACATTTACACTAACTATAGCGAGAACATTGTGCAGCTCTGCAGCAACTAGCAGCTCAGTTACGTCTAGGTACTCACTGTTTTTGTGTCGTGCTCAGCCGGAGTGTCGTGGATCGGTCAGACCGGGTCACCGGCGCCCAGTCACCTGATGCCGCCCCAGAGAGCAGAGATGTCGTGTCTTTGTATCAGTGACTATCTTTGATGACAGCGTACAGGGCATGAATCAGAAATCAACGACAGATCTGCTGATCTTTGCACTCGGCCGGTCAGATTGCGTATCGCACTGTCGATGTCCGTGTCACCGGCTGGTCTGTCGTGTATTTTCCCTCCCCTTTGTCTTTGTTTGTAGTGTGTTGCCGCCCTAGTCTGCAGTGTTTTCCCCGCGGAAGGCCTCCCTACAGGCAATTTCTGTAGTGTATTCGGATTCCACTCTCCCGGTCCGGTCTGTAGTGTTTCCTTGCTCTCCCGGCCATGCCTGTAGTGTAGTAGTGTGGTAAGTATGTAATAGTGTTTTCCCGGCATATTCTGTAATGTTTTCCCCTCTCTGCCGGCCCCATCTGTAGTGCTGCGCCCCCCCCCCCCCCCGCCCCGCTCTCTCAGCCCCTATATGTAGTGCATTTCCCTTCGGCAGGCCTGTGTGGACGCTGTGGTGTATTCCCCGCCCTCCCGGCCCGGTGTGTAGTGTTTACCGGCTCTTTCGCTCCTGTCTGTAGTGCATATTTCTCCCCGCCGGCCCTATCTGTAGTGTGTTTGCCGCGGCAGGCCTGTGTGGACGCCGCCCTGCCGGCTGAGCTGGGCGGCCTCTCCGCCGACTCCCTGCTGGTGGACACGGAGGACTCCCCGGTGACGGAGCGACTGCACAGCCTGGCCGCCGCCGCCGCCGACCACGTGCGCTGCGCCGGGAGCGCCGCCGCCGACCCGGCCGCGTGCCGCGCCGCCGCCGACTTCAGCGCCGAGTCGGCGCTGCGGCGCGTGCACGTGCTGCGCCTGAGCAGCGCCGCCGAGCTGCTGCTGCTGCCCGCGGTGCTGACGGAGCTGCTGGAGCGCCGGCCGCTGCGGCTCGTCTGCGTCGACTCTGTGGCGGCGCCGTGGCGGTACGGGGAGCCGGTGCCGCGGCGCGCGCAGGAGCTGCAGTGGCTGGCCGCCCAGCTGCGCCGGCTGGCCGCCCGCCGCGGCCTGGCCGTGGTGCTGACCAACCAGGCGACCACGCATCTGCCGGCCGGTGGGGGAGCGGCCTGCCTGGTGCCGGCGCTGGGGCCCGGCTGGCGCCACTGCGCCGCCCTCCGGCTCTGGCTGGAGCCCTGCGGGGACATCCGGCTGGCGCGGCTCACCAAACACCCCGAGCGAGCTGACGGCACGGCGCCCTTCCAGGTGCTCGCTGTGGGCGTGCGGGACGTCTGCGGCGACTTCGACGAGCCGGCCGGACAGAGCGAGGACAGCGAGCAGGAGGGAGAGGGAGAGGGCCCCAGCGGAGGGGACGGGGACGGCCCCGGCACCGGGCAGGAAGAGGACGGCGCCGGCGGTGCTGAGAGCGAGGCCAAGTCGCAGGGCGAGGGCACAGGCCATGTGGAAGAGGAGGGTCATGCTGTCGGGGGACATGTGACGGAGCGAGTGAGTGACGTGACGGCGACTGACGTCACGCCAAGGACTGGTGACGTTTCAGACTGTACTGCTAGTAAGCGCCAAAGGCTCATTTGATTCGTAATATGCCGTTAGCTGGTTTGTATGTAACAGCTATAGGCCGATTCAGGCTGTGGTAGTTTGTGAGTCGTTTCTGGTGGTTTCATGCGGTTTTTTGTTTTATGTATTTGTCTTCTGTTTTAATCCTTAGCGTATGTTAGTCTTTGCCGTAGCAGCGGTATTTATAACCTCACGATGTTCGTGTGCGTCTCGTTGTAAGCATCGTTTTAACTTTTCTCCTTTAAATTCCTCATTTTCTTACCGAACGAGTTTTAACGGACAATGGACATCGTTTCTTACCCGCACTTATGTCGTCCTGCATTCATTGAAAGGGTTGTGCACGGTGCAGTTGTACGTACTCTTTTGAAGTTAAGGTAACCTGGGCTGTGACCCGGGCACGCTTTCGCATGCAGTCCCAGACTGCTTTTCTTACCTCTGGTGCGTTTGTTTAGATGGAAATATACACTTTTAATGTACTCTTCCGTCTCTGATCAGTGATGATGATGGTAGCTGTGAGTGATGTCCCGAAAACTGTGTTCTGTAAGCAAATTTTGTGTTCGTTTAGTGCAATAATCTTGCCGTGGTCGTTAAACACTGGCATCTTCGATGGCGACTGAAGTTCCGTTCGCCAGCTTCGGGGCGCTCCAGAGATAAAGTCGAAACGCATTTCACAATGTATTCTACACATTCAATATTCCTACAAATATAGGTAAACAAGGATAAAACGCTAAAGGCACCTTACAACTGACAGCTGAATGAAAAGCACAACATATCATTGGTCACTGTGTATTGGCAGTTTGACTCGGCCCTCTGCGGGCCGAAGAGTTGCGCTCGTAGATACATTATTGACCCAACAAATCCGGGCGGGGCTAAAGCAGTGACGTCAGCACACTAGTCTTGTGCGTGGGCGAACGATATTTGTCCGATATCAGAGTAAATATCATTCCGACCTTCAATGCAAAACTTCCAAGCGTAAAAACGTGGACATTAAACACGAGTCCGACTTCAACCCAAACATGGGGTTTCGTTACACAACAATTTTGATTTGGGAGCGATTCTGCAGTCGACATGCATAGAGATCTAATATATTTTATATATTAGATATCTATGTCGACATGTCTCTAAGGATTGATCGCACCGGACGAAAGGCCACGCTCGTCGCTTCAAGCCACTCTCGGGAACTCTATTCCAGCAGTATAAGTCCAGCGCTCCGCCACACCGCCAGCGGTCCTAACATGGCAATCAACGATGTTGGCAGCAGGCGGTTCACTCCAAAGTACTTCTCTTCGAGACATTTCGCGCACCCGAGGAAGGATCCTGCCCGTTCCGAAGGAGCTTTGGGTCTCAGGGTAGCCCTTCACATGTTTATCCCGCGCTCACTGAAGAGGCACGGCCGCGCCAGCTGCCCTTCTCGACTATCACCGCCGGACCTCTCCCTCCGCTTCTCCTCAGTTCGAGTCCTCGGCGCCGCTTTCCTATCACTGGCTGCAAGTTCAACACCACCGTAACACCTCAAACTGACACCGTGACGCGGGACGCTGAGGCGGGGCTGTGGTATCACGCGTTCCCCTCCCCAGCCCGGCCGGCCCCTCCGTCCCCACCTCCTTCCAGAGCAGGTCCTTCGGCGTCCCCGGCAGCCCAGCCGGCGCGGCGCGGGCCGGCTTCAGCCGCTGGGGTCCTCAAACCTCGGCGGCCAGTGTCGAGCGCCACTGCCTGGCGCGCGGCGCGGCGCATGCGCGCTGACCGGGCCGCGGTCACAGCACGGCCGTCAGGCACTGGCTGCTGGCGGCGCACGGGTTGTAGCAGCAGCGCTGCTCCGTCGGACACTGGCTGTCGTTACTGCAGCGGCCCGACTGCGGCACCGACGGCGCCGGACACCGCATCATGTTGATGAACGGGCACTTGCCGGGCCGACCTGCCGAATGGAGGGTTTAGGTATTAGTGGGGAGACACTTTCCGGGCCAATACCTATGTCGAACGGAGAGACGTGGGCTAGTGGAGACTGGAGAGGTGATGAGTTTTGGGGATACTTTTCAGCAAGATCTTAGACATAGGATGACTATGAGCTGGCAATGTAGGCATGCTGTGATTTATGATAAAAACTCCTCTCCCTTTCCAAGATGAAATAATATAAGTGCATTGATGAAATGCCAATGCCATTTATCCAATGTGTCAACAAAATCTTACAACCGAACTTCAACGTCTCGTCACTGCTGTAGCGTAATGCAGCTTGTTGCCACTGGCTGCCACTATGCCGTACTCACGTGATATGATGACCTTGGGCGGTGGCTCGGTCTTGGCCTGCGGTGTCCGCTGCAGGTCGTTGATGACCGGAAGGATGCCGAAGAACACGCTGCCGTCCACGCGCCCGCTCAGGTTACGGCGGATATCTGCCGGAGAGGAGGGGAGGTCAGTCGTCACGTGCTGGATCTCCAGCCCCACAGGTTTTCGACAACATTCATGGGCTGCCGAGTGACTTTTTACATTAGGTATTTTACCAACGTGGTCTATGGGAATATCCGCGTACCCACAGTTTCAGAATATACGGGAATATCTGGAGAGGAAGAAGATCCAACCGATCTGTGATTAGCTCTTAAGCCCTTAATTTACTGTTCCAGTCATTTTCCGCTGCGAGCCGCTCATCTGCCTCAAAGTTTTCCTGTATGTCCGGATAATTAGCTGGCTACCAGCGGCTCTGGCCCGCTGGCTCCTGGCCGATGCGCCGTGGGATTGGTCCGGAGGTGTTTTCGCTGACGCTGGGTTCGCCTCGCGTGAGCGGGCTGGCCGGCGCCGCCTGGAGCGAGCACCGGGAACCGAGCCGGTGTTTTCCTGTTTCCTGGACGATGAGCCACCTCTGAGACATTCTCTAATCAACTGCGCCGCCGCTTTACCCGCCATTGTTTGCCAGTGTGAAAAGTGTCCGGTTCGGAGAGGAAAGCCGCGCTGGCAGGCAGGTAGGTGTCTAATTAGTCGACTAGCCTGAGGCGCTGCGCCGGCGCGCGCTGCACTACTGGTTCGACGAGCTCTGACGAGGCACGAGCCACAATGTGTAAACAATGCTCGGGTGACTGACATACGTATATCCCGGGGGCTACCCACGACCCGGGGTAATACCGGATACGTCCTAGGGTATATACCAAGAGACTGACAGGTGGAATTATGTATGTATGTAGTTTGAACCTGACCTAGCAAGAACTAGTCTGACAGGATCTAATTTATATCGATATGCAACGCTGGGCAAGCATATTATCACCTATTGCGACGTGCTGGTATGAACTGCTGCTTTGGAATTGGAGAAGATTATCTCTCCCTTCAAAAATGGAACCAGATAAAGTAAGAAAGGGGAAAATTCTGACCTTCATAGTCCAGCCACGCCGGGGTTGTTGGGGTAATTGTCAACTAACGGCAATGTATGCCATATTGTTAGTGAAATACAAAGTTGGAGCAGGGATGAAGCCTTGGTAAATCCCGACCCTTGTCGATGTGAAGGGCAAAATTAGAAGCCAGTCCCATGTTCTCACACTTTGGGACGAGTAAAGCTAAATTGGGTGTCGTGCTAAAGAATGAGGCTTTATCTAGATTAAACAATAGCTGGGCAGATTTTACAGCTTCGAGACATTTTAGAAGAAAAGAAATCCGAACTTGATTTCGGTGTTTGGTGTGTTATCACATTCGTGTTTGCTATTTGGGCCGAAGAAAGTGTTTCCTCACGTACAAGTGTTGCCAAAATATACCTCTAATCAAATCTAGAGAGGTGCGCATCTCAGTCGTGTCCGACGCTGCGCTTTCTCTCACCTTTGGCGACGTGCGAGGCGGGCGTGGGCGTGGGCGCCGGGGCCGACGCGCCGGTCAGCTCGGGGACGAAGCCCTCAGCGGAGGGCGCCTCGGTCAGCGGCGCCGAGGGCGGCAGGTAGCCGCCGGTGGGCGGCTCCTCGGTGGGCGGCCCCACGATCAGCCGGCTCAGCTGCGCCAGCCGTGTCGGCCGCGCCGTGGTCGTGGTGGTGGGCGGCTCGGTGGGCGCCGGCGTGGCGTCCACCGAGGGCGGCCGGAACCAGCGTGCCGGCTCCGGGGCCGCCGCCGGCGCCTCCACCGGCGTCACCGGCGGCGGCTGCATGTACTTGGACGGCTTGACGATCTCGCCGTTGGAGGAGATGCCGCCGATGGTCTTGGTGACGGTGAAGGTGGCCTTGTTGGCGCCCTTGCCGGAGAAGCCGTGCACCACACGGCGCGAGGTGTGCGGGTTGGCCGGGTCCAGCACCACGGTGCGCCCGGTGCTGTCCTTGACGCGGACCACCACCATCGAGTGGGTGCCCGTGGTGCTGCCGGTGCCCGACGAGATGGAGAACTTGTGGGTGGTGCTGCCGCCCGAGGAGCCGCGCCAGAACCAGCGGAACCCGCTCCCCTGGGTGAGCGCGAGCGCCGGCCCGGCGGCGACCAGCGCCAGCACACAGACCGATAAACAGGAGAGCAGGCGCATGGCAGGGCGAGCTGGAACAGAGGCGCCCGTCAGAACTGAACACCCTACTGCGTGGGATGACACTGCACCGCTGTCAGAACAGAGCACAGTACCATGCACTGACCAAGACCTTATTAGAGATTCTGAGCAAGGCCCTAAAACATCGTTCTGACACCGAATGATCATGTTGACCTTCATAACGGAATATGTTACTGTGTGGTGAATTGGTGATCTTGCTGGCAATAAGTGCCTGCGGCCACGCGGCAATATTGATTTTCTTCGTCTTTTTAACTGTTACTTGTAATTGTATTTGTATAGCTAAGACATTTAGCCATAGTCTAGGTATACTTTGCTTCATCCTCAGCATCAGGAAAACTGTTTTCATTTCGAAAAGATATCAGCGTACTGCTTAGCTCCTAGTTCTTAATAATGCATCAGCAACGTGGGTGGAGCTTTCCCAAGGAAGTTGGTGGGGCAAAATGTCGTCAAACCCACAATGTCCGATTATGAAGTTGAATAAAACGTCGTACTAAATCAATTCCTATCATCACAGATATAATGTTTTGCATTAAACAGACATTTCAAAGCTCTTCAATGCGAAAAAGATTAATTTGCATAGCAACTAAGTCTTAGAAATCAGTTAAAGTTGGTGAAGCAAAACGCTTATTGGTGGGGCAAAATATCAAGTTGGTAGGGCAGCCGCCCCACGAACTGTATAGGAAGCTGAAAGCTCCGCCCCTGATCAGCAACTGATAAAGGTCGATGCATCATGTCATCAGTTATCAACTAAGATGATAACAATGAGACTAAAAACAAATGGTGCACTCAACAATATCGTGACTCTCGCTGCGTTTCAGCATCCCCGACCTTCAGCTGCCATCCATGTGTCGGTTCAGACGTCCCCTCAGAGGCTGGCCCGAGATTGGTCTGAGCCGCTCGATACCGCTGAGCGTGACGCCCGTCGTTGGCCGTTGTTTGCCGCCCAGGGACAAAGACACAATGGAGGGAACATTCCTGATTGGGCCGCGGCGCCGCTGAGATTTCCGGGCGGGCTCATGTGTGAGCTGCTGGTGAGGTGTTCTTTCCGGGACAGACGGCGATGCCGAGCCTCTGCGAAGTTACCCCTAGCCGGTGTCCATGATCAGCGGCCGAGAGATGTTTGCTTGGGTAGTCCCTACTGCAGCTTAAGTCTACAGTCTACGACTTTACATGCTGCTATTCATTGAATCGCGACATGAGTGACCAATAATAATTCATATGTGTCCCGTAAGTCATGTTGAACGTCTGTTACATACATATCTATTGCCAAACAGCTTCCTGACACAGTCCATGCAGCGATTGCATTGCCAGGTCGGTTGTGCAATCTAATCCCCCGCCCTCTCCCTCGGGTGTGGCGGACGGATGGTCCTGCGATGGACCCGATGTGAGCCTCCCTCCGGTCACCCGCCGCGCTCCAGTGATCTGAGCAGGCGCTCACCGGCGGGGCCCGCCTGGCCAGGGTGACCGGGCTCGAGCAGCGCTCTGTCTACTGAGGGTAGGGTGGGCAGCCGCTCACCGGAATCTTTGGAATCTATTCTCGGGGCGGCTTCCTGGAACTACTTTTTGCTGGTCGGAGACAAAGGTTAGATATAATTCCTCCAATGTGCATATAAGTGTTGGTTTTGCAAGATATTAGAGATAAATCTCACGAGATGACGTTTCGTCACCGGTTTGGAATGTCCCAGAGCCGAGTCTGATGGTAGAGGCTGACGGTATCTCGGACTCGATCAAACATGGTCAGTTGCAGTAGGAGTTCTCCTCCTTTTGCCGGCACTGTGTAAGATCACTGGCACTAACAGTTGAGCAAACAAATCGCTTTATGTCACCTTTCTCACGGCTGTTCATCCGTATAACTGTCGAGTACAGACGGGATTAAACCGAAACATTGAATGGACTGACAGCTAAATGCATCACATGTGCAATCGCTCACGTACCGCCCATAGACGATCGCTTAGTATCGTGACTGTTTCGTTCTACATTATGCGAATGATCAATCATGACTGATACTGAGTAGTCCAGACGTGCATTTCGCCCATGGTGTGCCGTGTACTTATAACTTATAAGCTATTCACCTTTGTTGTGGGATGGTAGATAAATCTGCCTGCTGGTTAATCGCACTATCCCAGATATGCCTTTAACCTGGCCACTAGGGGTACCCATTTTTCCCGATTTTGGAAATTTGTGGGTGGGGGTGGTTTTTCCCATTATTTCGCGGCTCCTGATTCCAATGGTGCCAAAAATATTGAAATCAAAGGTGGTTTAGGGGTCGCGAATTGAGATTGAAATTTGCGTATTTACCTAGAAATATGCTTATTTTACGCTGATAGTAAATCGCAACGAAGGCATGGATGATATAACACTGGATTGGTGTCTCGTGGAAATTAACATTGGGATCCGCGACATTGGGATCAGGCCTGCCATCTAGCGAGAGAATTATCGTAAGTTAGGAGCAAGCCGAGTGAACGCCATCTCTCAGCATTATGACACACGTGGGTGTGGTGTGTTAGTTGGCTCGAAGTGCATATTCCCACGAGTTGGAGGTAATCTAACTGGACCTGAGACGACAAAAAATGTCTTAAATGTTTGAAAGCCAAAAACGTCAAGCAGCCTTTAGGTAATAACGAAAATAAACTGCGTAAGACAGTGTGTATTGAAACGCCCAGTCCCATTGGCTTGTACGAGCTTTTATATGGCCATTTACTCACAATGGTACAGCAGTTTGACAATTTGTCATACATATTTGGTAGGCTTATTCCTTCTTCTCCGAATTTCGCCCGATTTTCTTCATCTTAGTTAATGTTACGGCACGTGTCACGTGCCAACTTAGGGGTGTCGAAATTGTTCCACATGAAGTAACTCCGCAATGGCTGGGCCCATTAGAGTAAAATTTCGTCAATAGTTAAGCACCCAGTGGCCAATGCATTTCCATGTGTCACTATGGGGGTGCTACTGCACGTGCGCACGTGCGGGGTGCCGCTTCCATATCTCAAGAAGGGCTGGGCGGAAAACACTCAAACTTGGTACACAAATGTCAAATCGATGCTCGCACTGCATTGATCAGTGCTTACATTGGAGTCGTTAGGAAAACGATGAAATGAGATGCGTGGTGTTCATGCCTTTCTGTTCCAGCAGCTGATTGATCCGCAACAGGAGATCCTTGTTTGTGAAGGCTTCGTCTCCCTTTTCCACTCCTTCTTTAAAATAACATTAACAATGTACGAAGAAGATCACACATCAAAGTTGTTTTAGGCGGCTATCTTGGGCCAGGACTGCGGAGTTGTAGTCAGAGCCAGCGGTTCTGTTCCGACTCGGAATCGGTTGATTTTTAAAAGCTGTAGTCGGAGTATGAGTCGAACGTCACCGAAAAGTCATCGACTCCACAGACTTACCAGGGCTGCAGAGTCGGAGTCTGTTTGCAGAGGTCAAAAAAACTTATTTTGTGTCACCTACAAAATTTTATAACCCCCTTTGTGTCCCCTGCCCCCAGAGGCCGGATAAGTGTTGCACTATAAGGGTGATAAAATTGGGAAAAAATCTAGGCTTCATCAGGCCAGTGTTAATGTTAGTGTCGCCAATGTTAGTGTGGTCCTAAACCTGGATAATGTATTATTACAGTGTCCCAAAATTTGTTGATTTGGGTGGGAAATACTGAGATTCATTTGCCACTCTCACCACCAATTTCTAAGAGCAATTAACCACTCTCAGCCAAGAACACCTTGTTACCTCAAAAGGCAGTTCAGGTGTGGTGGACTTAAACAGGTGGACAGGTGTGGTGGACTGAGTTGTGTGGATACTTGGAGTTGGTTTATGATCATAATAGATACTCATGGATAAAAATAAAGGCTATTGATCTTATCTCACTCTTTTTGTATCTATTCTAACCAGCAGTTTCCACCTTCTACCCCTTTTTGGTGGATAATATGCCCCTCTGACACCCCAGCCAAAACTCAACTTTGGGACACTGAATACATGTGTAACTAATCTTGTGCAGATGCATTTAAGAATTGCTTACATTCTATTTTACATTTTTCCATAATACATTTAGATTTGTGTTCTATATGGTGAGATTTCACACCTGTTATGACATAACAAATAATAGGTGCCTACCTATGTATAATACAATATACCTACCTATGCAACATGTTGCAAAACGTTCCTTTTCCACATCAAGGCCACTAATATTGTTGAACCAAAATTCTAATCATAAGATTTTTGTTAATAGTATACAATAAGTCAAAATAAAATAGGTGTAGTTGCTAGGTAGGTGGGTTGTATGCTTCGGAGCTTGTCGGTTGGCAGGTTTAAGGTAGGGAAGTTGTAGCTTGTAGGTACAGGTAGGTAGAAGGTAGAAGGCTGTAGGCTGGTAGGTAATAGGTGGTATGGTGGTAGGGTAGAAAGTAAGAGTAGGTTAGGTAATGATGTTTTTCTTTCATTCAGAGTTCTTAAACACTTTATGCAAGAGTAAAAGAGTAGAAGTCGGAATGAAGGAAAAACAATTCAGCCTGAACCAAACTTACATAACTACTAACCTACAACCTACCTACAACATACCAACACAAAACAGAAAACCTACCAGCCTACAACCTCCCAGCTTACAACCTACATACCAACCTACGACATTTTTTCGGAGTCCTTGGACTGGTATACCTACTTTTACCAGCTAATGAAAATTGAAATTCCTGCTCTTCTAGGGCTGAAAAGATTAAAATCTAAATGAAATTTGTATCAACATTAACAGTAAAAACATCTATTCATTGACAACTTTGGCAAGTGTTTCAAAATCAGGCAACAAATCCACACAGCCTTGCTTTTGATCCCCACCGGGCTAGCGTTGTTGATCCAACTTACAAGTACCTAAACCAGCAAAATTAGACACCCCAAGATTCCTTACCTCCAGTGTTATTTCCATTTTCCTGCCTTTCATAACCACAATACAACAACTCAGCTTTCATCACGGCGCCAGTCCCTTTCTTGAAAGCATTCAAACTTGTTTGAAAATTGGACAAGCACGCGCTACTCGCGAGAGTCCACTCCTGTTTTGCTACGTGTTCATGATCACAGCATACCTCTCATAGACGTGCGCCGAAAAGGCCCGCTCAAAATCTTTGATGCGTTGGCTCCTGGGGCCTACAAAATCCACAGTGAAGGCTCCCTGGCGGCTGGGGCGTCAGCTCAGCGTTGTCCCCTCGTGTCACCAGCATCCGATTGGTTCGCTCAGGGTTATTCTCGCCGCGGATTGGCTGGTTAGTCTGTTCGCTAGCAGTGTGCGAAAACGCCGTCAACAAATGCGATGCAGTGTGTTCACCATTTTCGTGACTTTGTCACCAAATGTGTCTGGTGCCTGTCAGCTTCTGTCGCCTACAATGTAAGCGAGTAGGAAGTTTTTTTTACCTCTGTCTGTTTGAATCGACAGTTCTGCCCGAAGGAGTCGGAGTCGATATTTGGATACAGGAATCGGAGTTGGAGCCAAAGTCACTGAAATTTCATCGACTACGCAGCACTGGTTGGGTCCTTTTCATAGAGCGTCTTGAATGGCATATTGAGCGGCAATGACGTTAGCAATTCCGTTTATAACTTTTTCATTAGACTTATAGATAGTACTTACGTTCGTTTTGTGCTTTGATCGGACAATTTGTTTGATTTAGGCCAAGTAAAGACTCATGTGAAAAATAGCGAAAACGACACGTGCTGGCGAAGTCTCCAATAACTCCCTGTTTCACGATTTAATGAGGAAATAACATGGAACTGCTTATCTTATTACTGACCCTGCACATAAATCTATTAATTTCTTCGCTTTTGCTGACATATATAAAGACATTACCTTTTGAAAAATTGCAAAACAAGCCTGCTACTACACCACACTCCCGTGTGTCACAATGCTAATCAGCGGCGTTCTCTCGGCTTGCTCCTAACTTACGATAATTCTCCCGCTAGATGGCAGGCCTGAGCTCAATGTCGCCAAAAACTGCGAAGACACCAATCCATTATTATCTCATCCATGACGAAGGCAAACTTTTTGTTTCGAGAGTCGGGTAGAGGGGTCATTGAACGCTCCTTTTTCATCCAGATCGATGTGCTCCATCACGTGGTTACGGTTAAATGCTTTACTAGCGATCATTACAATGTCGATATTGAACATTTGGTGAAAAGCGCCGGGATGTTTTGCTCCTGTTGCTGGTGTCATTCTGGTCAGCGTGCAATCATTTTTGATATTTTCTTTTTGTGTTGCATTAGTGACCTTTGATGACCTTTGAGGTCACACTAAAATGTGAAGTTTCAGTTGCCATATCTCAGTTCACGACAGGCTCTTTGTGTCCATACAATTAAAGTTTGTGCAAATTAGCTCAGGATACATCTGACGGATCATGGCTCCGAATGTATTTCAAACCATGTAATGCAAAAACGATCAAACCATTTCGACCTTATACTTCCACAAGAAACGCCGTCCTGTTCGCTCACGGCTACGATGTAATATAGGTATAGACAGGGTAGGATAAAATTGGGTGTTCTACAAAAAAAAAATCAACTTCTGATCCCAAAGAGTCGATTCTTTCCATGCCCACCAATCATGTACCATTTTATTTCTGGCGTTCATGAGTTTCCGATACAATCCGACCATTTACGAGTTCATATTAATTATTGGACATGGGGGGACTAAGCCATGCGCTGATACGTGCACGGTTGATAGGTATGTGACGAAGAACTTTCACAGCTTCTGGCACAGATCACTTGTGATCTCAGGTAATTGGCGTCTGAATCTGAAGAACCTAATGTAGCAGAAGATTTTCATCCTGCATGGGCCGTATGGTGGCACCAGGACGCATCATATAAAGGAGTGTGCGTGCAAAGGCTGAAGAGAAGAATCAGGTCCGCCACCATAAGGTTCGTGGCCCACCCACTGTGTCGGCCCCCAGGCAATGCCAAGAGTCAGTAAACGGTTCTGCCTCGGAGTTGGCTGAGTCGTTTAGACTTGGCACCTTCCTAATTCTCAGCTTTAGGCAATGCCATTCGACTTCAGTTCAGAACCATCTGAGGGTTTGGACTGGGCCTGTACATAGAGTGCAGCGTAAGATCCGTTACTTTATCTTGCAAGGATACTTCTGGCAGCGGCCATCACCAGGCACTAGTTCCATGGCATGATATCTGCACCCGTCTCATTTTAACAGCTGCTTGTAGTGGCACATGCCCAGAACTGGAGCCACGAGCAGTCGTGCATGCGTTCGGCCAGGCCAGTGCTGTCCGTCATCAGCAAGATTGCAAACATATTGCTTTCATAATGGGGTGAGGATGAAGTTCATTGTTCCTCTCCTCCTGTGATGTTCTCCGCCAGCTGTCTTTCCATATGCACAGTCGCATTCTGTGTATGGTTGTGGGTGTTTGTGGGGGAGGGGCAAGGCTACACTCAAGCACAGCGGTCACCCAACGGCGCGGTGGTGTAAAGCTTGCGCCCCTCCCTCTGCCGTCTCTGCAACTCCGGGCCTCGGGGAGGTCGGCTAGCGAATTGGCAAAGGTCATGCATATTGCATACCGGCATAGCTTAGTGCTGTTTTATGTTTTTGTAGATATAAATAGGCCATTAGCAACTCCCTTATCTACTTCATGGTTAAAATACGGCATGCGAGTTATATCGTTACATCCGTAACGGCTTTTATTGCCCCTCCCACTCAGATTGTATCGATAGGTCAATGTTCATTGTCCATGTCCTGGGGATCAGTCATTTCTTTTGCTGAATAAGACGACTCATTGAAAACTAAATGGCCCTAATGAGAAAGTTTCGATCACTGCAATTTTAGCCCTCTAACTACATAGCCAGTCTTTCTAAGAGTTACGGTCTCGGGTCTTGTGTCGGTAGGTACTAATGACGGTCTAAGCCACAGTGAGTGTAAATGAGCAATGAGCATATGCTGTTCATTGACCAGAATGATATATTTGGTGCTTTCTTTTACCGCTGCACGTCAAATATACAACTGAGGTAGTGTTGCACGGTGTCCAACAGTCATCAATACCACTGCAATACATTGGCTTTGCATATTTATAGTCGTTAAAATGAAGTCATTTTTCCAAGTAAAATTAAAACTTCCAATGCAAGCTCGCGACCCCTAAAAGTAGTCTGATATCGTTAATTCTGTCACTGCTAGATCCAGAACGGAGCAAAAAATGATAACATCGACCCCAAACTGTTGACATGGTAACCTTGTTCCAACATAAAATAATGCTAATTTGGTCGATTTTCCGCTAAAATTGACATTTTCATTTTGAATTCGTGACCCCTAGAAATCGTTTGGTTTCGTTATTTTTGGCACAGATGGAATCAGAATAGACCAAATAATGGGAAAATTGACCCCAACCTGTTCGCATGGCTACCTTGCTTCAAAATAAAATAACATTATTTTGGTCAATTTTTCGCTAAAATTGGCATTTTCATTTTGAATTCGCGACCCCTAGAAATCGTTTGATTTCGCTATTTTTGGCACAGATGGAATCAGAATAGACCATATAATGGGAAAATCCACCCCCACCTAAAATTTGGAAAATTGACCCAAAAATGGGTACCCCTACTGGCCACCTCTCCCGCCTGCACTGGGCTGCAGGAAGGTCGCCTGAGCTCATTGATCACACTGAGTGGTCGACTTGTCACGACTTGGTGTTAAATGCGGCCCTGTGCCACTCCAACTTCGCACCACTTAAACAGTCATTCAGGTTGAACACGTCAGATCACAACAGAAACTTCCCACGTCACTTGCGTCACAATCACCCGAAACTTTCCAGAGTTACGGAAGTCGTGATGAATTATGATAATCCGGCAAGGTGCTACTCTGCTTCATGATTTAGCATAAGCCCCTTTGATGGGTTACATTCACCGTGCTGACTTCATCGTCGCTCACAGGTTATACAGGGCCACCGTGGACTCTAATGAGCCGCGCTGAATGGGGTGACGCCGGCGGCGCGCTGTGACGTAAAATGGCGCGCGAAAGTGGCGCGCGTCGCGGTCACAAGCCGAGGTGTGACCCGCAGATTCGGGGGTGTCCGATGTGCTCATTTGGTGAGAAGGTGAGCTGGAAACCCGTGGGACTCGCAAATCACTTCATATGTCACCCACTCGTGTGGGGAACTCCGATAGGGAGCCATTGCGAATGTGCCTCTTATCGTAATGCCGGGAGGCGCTCAGTTGTGTGATCTGGTGTCATGCTGAGGAAAGCTCTGATTTAAGACACCAATTAGCCGGTAGAGCACCTGTGATATGCGGGTGCGCGCACAGATTGATCGCAAACCTGACACTATTTATAGGACACATTAGGACGAGACACTTCATAAAGATACGTCGTCATAAAGTGCAGGCTCAGTGGGGGAGTGGACAAGGACGCGTCTGAACTTTCACCATTAGCCGTGCGCTGCCGGTGACGCGGTTTTGCCACGGGACGCCTCTCTTTGGTGTCCAGTCACCACAGCTTCGGCACTGCCCTGTCCACACCATGAGGGGGTCTCCGCCCAAGTCACCGACAAAACACGTCACGTGTCCCGTGCCGGTGGCCGATGGCGGGGATTTGTGAAATACCGACCAACCCGTCGAGACCCGAGCATGTGCACGGCGAATCAGCTGCTACTCTACCCATTCTAGCAAACTAATCTGCAGAGCCGCGACTGGCAGAGAAGAGGAAGAGAGGGAGATGAGTTGGAGAGCAGGAGGGAAGGGAGGGGATTTACTTATGGGAGGAGGGGAGGCAGAGTTTTGTGTTTTGACCACACCACCCGTCCCACCATCAGACTGCCGGGCCCTCCGCAGGCGGGGATGGCCTTTGTTTACTGGCAGCTGACGGCTCGCTCAGGTAAACACTGTTTGTGCCCCGACAAAATGCTGATAACCTTGTCCGGTTGTGAGAGGACCCGGCGGTGGGATTTGGGAAGCTGCAGTCGAGTGGCGCAGCTGTAACAGGCTCCTTTCAGCTGAGCGGAGATGCCCCGATAACCTGTCTGATTGTCTGATTGTCTGATTCAATTAGTGAAACCACTGCGCCACTGGCGCTGTCAGAAAGGCTTGCATTGCAACAATTACTAGTAACTACCATGTTTTACACTGCTGGCTGGCACAGAAGCCACCTAATTCCATGTTTCTCTCAGACGGCACACCGCCCACTTTCGTCTGTGTAACAATGGCTCAAAGGCCTTTATTCTCGCCGCGCTATCGCAAACAGTAGCCATCAAGCTCGACTTTGTCGTATTTTACACCGAAGTTTGAGATCACGGTACGGATATACCAGCATGAAACACAGCAGGAAACTTCCTAGGCAGAAGGGCGGTTCGCGCTGTAACCG